TAGATAAAGTACAGGTCAAGTGGAATTATGGCATAGTGATGGAAGCCAAATAGGACCCAGGCTGAATTAGCCATTATTCTCACAGGAAAGTAGGTGGGATGTCAATCTGGGCTGAAGCAAAACCTGAGATCAAACCTACACTTGGGATACAGCCTTTGTCTACCCTGCAGCTACAAATACCCAAAGGACTACTTCAGCCATTCCATTGCTACTATTACAGCCCATGGTGTGAAGTAGAAAGTGGATGTCAGAGTTACCCAGTCTCTTCCCCCCTCCCGCCACCCCCCCCAATGCCTCTTGCCGTCTCCTTGGGCAGCTTTTCTGGACTCACGTGCTATAAAATATGTCATTGTGTTGATAACAATCATAAAGTCAAATTAGCTGGCATGGGGCTGACCACAACTGCCTAGTCAGGATAGACAAAGGGAAATTGTGTTTGCATTGTGTCAGCTAGTTATTGTCAACAGTTTAATAATGTTGAGATGACATGACACTAAACACAATTTGCCCTTTACAGGTCACTGAGTCATTGCCAGCACCCTGTCAGTCAACTTAGCTCTTCACAGATTTGTTTAAATATATTATAATTTTGTATTATAAAAATGTATTATAATTTTGTAGTTTTGTGAAAAACTATCTTGCGTTGTCTTGGACAGCAGAACCTTACCAATTTCACTGCATGGATGTTTCATTATTCACAGAGCAGGCCTGGCCTTAGGAAAGGAAAAAACCAAATCAGGTTTAGTATCTTTTGCTTAGAGTCAAAATGAATATTGTCCATTATAGCTTACTAACTTTTGAAATACAAGAGGTCTACAGAATTGAAGAACATCCTATTCACTAAGATTGTTTTCTGCCATGATAATTATCTCACTACAGCTGAAGGTTAATATATCATGCAGAACTTTGGGGAATTTCTTAATTTTAATTTAAAATGTTTTAGTGTTCAAGCCAAGTACTTTTAAAATAAAAATGAATAGCCTAATGATGGAATTTATGCTGTGAAAAAGTTCCTTCTTTTCCTGGATGTGCCACCAATGTTGGGGGGGAAGGAAAATAACATAGTAGGTAGGACTCTTCAAGCCCTGCCCAAAAAATAATCCTCCATGACTAAACTTAGCTACTATTCACAGATGTTCAAAGATATAGACATTTAAAATATGATCACATGTAATCCGCTCCCTTCTGCAGGGTTCAGATTCTGATCTGCAATAACACCAATATACAGAGGTGCTGACTTTTATTTTTGTCGGGAGGAGGGGGGTGCTAAAATAATGGACACGTGGAAAGTTGTATGTATTTCAGGTGACAGCCCTCTTCCTGAGGTGGGCCGGGGCCCTCAGGTCCCCTCATACTCAGTGCCTTTCCCGATATACAAACCAAACCAGGTTATAGTGTGTATGTCTTGGAGGCTTCACAGTGACCATCCAAATAACCTTGGTGTTACTGTTTTTTCTTAGGAGGGTCTTGCCAGCTCTTTTTTAAATTAAATTTAGGAAAAACTTAGGCAGGCATACTGTGGATGAGGTCTACGTATACTTGCTTGCACTTTGGAAAAATGGTAAGAGCATTCATAAAGTCCTGTGACAATCTGCAACCACTAAACGTTTTTGTTTTTATATCAGTGACAGAGCCTTTAGAATTCACAAACATTTAGTTTAAACTTTCAAACTAATCATTTCAATGGGAACTAGAGGTGCTGATCATAAGAGGTGCTGATCATATTTGCAAATCAAGCCACTTACATGTAGGAAAATGGTACAAGGAGTTGATATGATATCAGATATTTTAAGATTAAAATTACAAAACTTAACTACAGTTTTTATGGTCACACCTTCAGTGATGCATTCCACTCTGACAGGTCTACCTTGGAAATCGCTTCTTGACTCTGGGTGTCATAGTTTCATAATATAAAAAAGAAAAATTAAAAGCTACAGTTCAGAACACTTCTAGTTAGAAGAACAAGAAGCATCTTTCAAAGACTGTAGTCAGAGATTGAATAGTTATAACAGTAATGTTTGCTCACCTTCATAGTTCTAATATTTAAACCTTGAGTCCTTGCTGGATCAGCAGAGGTCATGTAGGACACAAAAGGGTTCTTCTGCCATCCCTATTTAACATGCTGTTTCCCAGAATAGCTACTCTGTTTCTGTAATGTAACTTTTGGGGGAGGACAGGATGTTGACCAATTATTGAACCTGCTGTCCTGGCCAGGAGAACCAAAGGACTGCATTCTGTATTGTCCCTACCCTTTAACTTGTTCAACCAGGGCAATCATACCAGGAGTGATAATTGCCAGCGTCATAGCTCTCAGGCTCATAAGAAGACACACACCTTGCCACATTCCACGGTGCTAATATAATCCATCATTTTATAAAGATTCACGTTATTCTCCACAATTGAAGTCTGAAATAGTTCATATAAACATAGAACACTTTGACAAGATTTATGTTATGTTACAATTAGGATTTGGCAGGATCTATGTCGGAAAACAGACCAAAGACATGACTACACAGTTTAGCTGTTATAATGAAGGTTGGCTAGGTGTGTACTGAAAGGTGGGTGCATTGGCATGAATGGAAGTGGGTGCATATGCAAATACCAAACTCTAAAACTCTTGGTTCAGAAGTGATACTTTATATTAAACCAACTAAAGTCCAAAAGCTTGGAAATAAATCTTTTTAAACTATTTTAGTTGGTCTAATCAAAAGTATCATCTCCAAACCAAAAGTTTTAGAATTTTGTATTTTTCTCTCTCAGACCAACATGGCTACAAAATAGATCCCTGAAATATGGAAG